AAATGGAAAATGGTACATCCCGTTTGTAAGACAGTCTGGCATTTCTTATAAAACTTAACATACTCTGACCATATGATCCAGCAATCAACTCCTTGGTATTTACCCAAAGGACTTGAATACGTCCACACAAAAACCTGTACATAAATGTTTATAGCAGCTTTATTCATAACTGTCAGAATTTGGAAGCAATGTCCTTCAGTAGGTGAATGGATAAACTGTGATGCATCCAGACAATGGGATGTTATTCAGTGCTAAAAAGAAAAAAGCTATCAAGCCATGAAAACAGATGGGGGAACCCTAAATACATATCCCTAAGTGAAAGAAGCCATTCTGTAAAAGCTACATACTGTATGATTCCAACTATGTGACATTCTTGAAATGGCAAAATTATGGAGACAATAAAAAATTAGTGGCTTTCAGGAATTAAGAGAGAAGGATAAGTGGGTGGAGCACAGATGTTTCGGGCAGTGAAAATACTCTGTATAATACAGATGATGGATTTATGTCATACCTTTGTCCAAACCCATAGAATGCACAACACCAAGAATTAACTCTCAGGTAAACTATGGACTTGGGGTGATGTGTCACTGTAGGTTCATCAACTGTAACAAATGCACCATTCTGGTGGAGGATGTCAATAATGGGGAAGGCAGTGTGGACCCAAGAGGCTTATAGGAAATCTGTAACTTGCTTTCAATTTTGCTATGAACCTAAAACTGCTCTAGAAAAAGTCTTAAAAATTGTTTTCTAATTTTAAAAGTTTTATGGGATTAATAGAACACTTATTTCTAACGTAGACAAGGATAGCACAAGAGAAGAAAGAAAGATTGCAGGCCAAACTCAATTATGAATATAGATGAAAAAGGCTGAACAAAATTTTAACAAATTAATGTAGCAATATATTAAAAAGGTAACATGACCAAGTGACGATTATATGGTAAGTGAAAAACTGACTGAATATTTAAAGCCAATAAGTATAAAAGTAACAAGAGAGAAAATTAATAGATGCAGGAAAATTTTTCAATATAATTGAACATACACTATGACAAAATCTTAGCAAAATAAGAAAAGAGAAATTCTTTAACTTGATGAAGAAAAATCTATCAGAATTCCACAGCAAACATTATGTTTAAAGTTAAAGGTTGAAGATCAGGATCAAGATAAGGATGGCCCAATATCATCACTTTCTTCTTTTTTAATTTGCATTTTTTATTACTGAGGAGGGTGATTATTTTCTCCATTTTCATTACTTGTGTTTTCCTATGAATTTTTTTTAAAAAAATATTTTTAAAATGTTTATTTTTGAGAGAGTGAGACAGAGCACGAGAAGGGGAGGGGCAGAAAGAGAGGGAGACACAGAATCCGAAGCAAGCAGAATCCGAAGCAGGCTCCAGGCTCCGAGTTGTCAGCACACAGTTCAATGCCGGGCTAGAACCTGAGCTGAAGCTGGACACTCAACCCACCGAGCCACCCAGGTGTTTCCGCTAGTATTATCACTTTCATTCAACATTATGCCAGATGTTGTATGCAGCACAGTAATATTCCCCAAACAATAAGATTAAAGTTTTAAAAATTAAATTTTCAAGTATTGAAAACAAGGAAATTAAACGTTCATTATGTTTAGAAGATATAGCTGTTCATAGAAAACAAAAAAAATCTACAGTTAAATTATAAGAAGTAACACAAAATTATTATATCTTAAAAATTTTTTTTTAATGTTTGTTTATTTTTGAGAGACAGAGACAGAGCACAAGTAGGGGAGGGGCAGAGAGAGAGGGAGACACAGAATCTGAAGCAGGCTCTAGGCTCTGAGCTGTCACACAGAGCCAGACACGTGGCTTGAACTCATGGACTGCAAGATCATGACCTGAGCCAAAGTTGGATGCTTAACTGACTGAGCCACCCAGGCACCCCCAAACTTATTATATAACACTAACCAGAAAATATGGTAGAAAAAAATATATATGCTACAATAGTAATATAAACATGAAGTAACCATCAACATATCTAAGCAGGTCCAGATCCATTATGGAGAAAATAAAAACTTAATTAAAAGACATGAAAGATGACCTAAAAGAAATATATCATGTTCATTTTTAGGAAGTTTTAATATACTAAAGATGTCAGTTCTCACCAAAATAATGTTTCAATTTAATAAAATTTCAATACAAATCTCACACTTAAAAAATAAAACTTGACAAACTAATTCTAAAATTTAAACAGAAAGGTCTGGCTATGAATGTCTAGGATATCAAAAACTTTCTGTGAAGAATTAGATAAAATAAAAACAACAACCCATTTGAAGGCATCAGAGAGCTACTAAGGCAGTGAGGATACGAAGGGTTAAAATCTTATATAGAAGGAATGAGAAATGCAAAGAGATAAACCTGATATTCAGTGTCCCTTGTCTTCTTGAGGCATTCACCAATTTGTAAGCAGCACAATGAAAGGGTAAAAGAGAATCACAATAAAATGAAGAGAAGGTGAGCAGACAGTTTTTATGAGGCTAGGAGACAAAAATCAGAGGTTAGGGCCTGGAGTGGTCCAGACAACCAATCCAACCTTTTACAGCCAATGCAAAAAAAATGATCTAGAAGCAGTCCAGGTCTCACAAAGAAACAGATTCAAATTAGCTCATTCCCAAATAGGATTCAGATGATCTGACCTCATTTTAATTTTGCTACAAACAAAAGTGAATCCTCTCTAGAAGAACATAACTTCATTCAAAACTTCTGAAAATTTTTCCAATTTTTTAATATGTGGTGTTTGGTATTCAGTAAAAAATTAGCAAGTAAACCAGAAATATAAGACAATTGACCAAAAACCAAAAGAAAAGACTAAAACAGGCAAAATAAATAGACCTATAGGAGGTTCACTTATTGAAGTTATCAGACATGGATTTTGAAATAACAGGTTCATGTACTGAAGAATATATCCTGAGAAAAAGAATTTTAGGAAGAATTTGAATCTATTTTAAAAAATCAACTGAAAATGACAATAAAATAAAGAACTCAGTAAATGGGTTTAAAGATTAGACACACCTGAAAAGATAATTAGTAAGCTGGAAAATAAGTCAACGGAAAATAAACATATATTTAATTGTAGAAGGCTAGAAAAGAGAGAGTGGTAAAAGCAAAATCTGAAGAGATAATGTCTGAGAACATTTTAAAATAGATGAAAAGTGGTAAACCTGATGGAAGAAATGCCACAAAACCAAACAGAGAAATATAAAGAAAACCTTGACTACAAAGAAAATGAGAAAATATGAAAAGCATTAAAAAATAAGAGCATACTTTCAAATGAACAAAAATAAGACAAGAGAGATGCTGAAAGCCAGAAGAAAATAGAATAATATATTTAAAGTGTGGAAAGAGAAATGCATTTAAAGTGTAGATTTTGACATCTGGCGAAATATTGTTTAAAAATCGAAGGCAAAATGAAAACTTTAGATAACACAAACCTAGAAAATTGGTCACCGAGAGACATGCACCAATAGAAATACTGAAGGAAATTTTTCAGACAGAAGAAAAATGATCCCAGATGAAACCATGAGGATACAAGAAATGAAGAATAATTGAAAGAGTGAATATGTGGGTAAATTTAAATGAATGTAGACTATGTATGAAAAATCAAATGCTACCAATTAAGAAGAATTGAATAGGAGGACTTGATCTATCAGATATCAGAAATTATTATAAAGTAATAGCAACTAAGAAGTATAGTGTTGTTACAGGAATATACAAACAGGCAAATGGAATATAAAATGACCCACACATGAAAGATGATAGAGTAGACAACACATATTGATGGGATAAGAATAGACTATCAGTGACCATAACTGAGAAAACCGGTTTTTCTACAGAAAATAATGAAACAGATCTCTGCTTTACACATTTACATAAAAATCAATACAAGGTAGAATATGCATTTAACTGTAGAAGGTAAGGGGCGCCTGGGTGGCTCAGTCAGTTAAGACTTCAGCTCAGGTCATGATCTCATGTCTTCTGAGTTTGAGCCCTGCATTGGGCTCTGTGCTGACAGCTCAGAGCCTGGAGCCTGCTTCAGATTCTGTGTCTCCCTCTCTCTCTGTTCCTCCCCTGCTTGTGCTCTGTCTCTGTCTCTCTCTCTTTCAAAAATAAATGAACACAAAAATTTTTTTAATGTAGAAGGCAAAACTACAATCCTTTTATAAGCATTTATAGAAGCACATTTTAATAACCTTGGTTTAAAGAAGAATTTCTCAATCAAGACCCCCAAAATGAAAATATCAATAAATTATCATTAAAATTAAGAACTTCCGTTTTTCAAAATACACCATGAGGAGCCTCAAAAAACAAGCTGTACCTTTAAGAAGAAGTTTGCAACAGATATAACTGACAAAGGATGATATAAATCTAGAATATATAAATATTTCCCAAAGGGAATAAGAAAGAGAAAAAACGCAATAGAAAATAAGCAGAAGAGGAAACACAAATGTGACCCAAAAACCACATGAAACATAGTTACATTAGTATTCAGGGAAATCAAATCACAGTGGGATGTCATTTCACACTCAGCCTCTGACAAACATTTCACTCAGACAAGTCCAAATTTGAGTAAGAGTGTGGAACAACCAGTACTCACACAGCTGGTGGGGCTGTTAATTGGTATAATCATGTTGGCACTACCAAGTTGAACAAGTTTATTTCTACAACCTATCCATTTTAATCTGAGGCACATATCGTAGAGAACCCCTTACACCTGTCTATCTCAAGGCACATAAAAAGGAGTCCATAATAATGATAACCTGAAGACCACATAAATACCCACTAACAGTCACATGAAAAAGAAATTATTGTATAGCTACTGTATAGTAGCTAAAAAATAAATGATTATAGTTACACACATGAAAAGAGGTTAATCTGAAGAAGTGTTTAATCTGAGTTAATCTGGAAAACAGGAAAGAAGAAAATTTCTCAAAGGGAATAATTCCATTATATAAAGTTTCTAAGCAGGTAAAATTAACAATATGTTGTTTGGGAATGCAGGGTTAAGTGATACAATTATGAAGAAAAGTATTCTCACACAGCTGGTGGGGCTGTTAAAAAATTCTGACCCTGACAACAAATTCTGAAGGCTAGTTGTCTTTGGCACCAGGAGAGGATGCCTTCACTGATGGGTATCCAAGACTTCTGAGATATCTCTGTAATGTTCTATCTCTAAGCCTCAGTGATGGGCACTAGGTGTTTTTACTATTATTACATGTCTGTAAACTTCCCACATGTAATACCAAAAAAAAAAAGTGGGAAAAATGTGTATTTCACAGCTCCAAAGCAAAATGGTGAAAACACAAAAGAAAATGTCCCTAAATTCTACTAAGCACTTCATGGATTCCAAAGCAGAATTATTCGCATTCCTTGCATTTATCCAGGCTAGGCTTTCTGAAGTCTGGATCTCTGAAGCCATGGAGCATGCATGCCTCATTAACATGTTCTGAGCTGGGAGTTTTCCTCCACATTTGCAAGAGCCTGAAGAAGGGCAGAAAATACTATTTACTAGATGCTTTGAATACATTTGGTACATAGAAGGATATAAAAGAGGAATGAGATATTGGAGTTTATGAGGAAAGGTGGTGTACAACAAAGGAAGAAATACATAGAAAAAATAAAAACTAGCATTTGAGATTACCTGGTTGGGTATGGTAAAAATGATGTTTGTGATTATGACAAGAAGGGGCATTGGAATTTTGGTGATTTGATTTGCTTCGATCTTCTATTAAGCAAATCTGATCTTTAGCAATCCATTGTTCAGATTTCCTCCTTTGTGTTAAATTCTGCTTTTCAAATCCTTGTGCAGCCTTCCGTATTTGCTAAATTATTCAACAGATTCATATAGCAATGCATATGTTTGCCCCAAGCTGGAAATTATAATGTGACTGTCTGTACTTCTTTCTTTCATGAGATAATGGATAGGGATAACTATAAATAAAGCAGAAAGGAAATCAAGATCACAAATGGAAGAAAGTAGAAGCGAAGGTCCTCTGCCTGTACTGGCTTTTTTAACCCTCCGCCATATTCCAACTCTTGGGACCAGGTTTGTTCCTTTCTCATTCCAAACTCATAGCTTTTTTAGTTTCTTGGACTCCAAAGGACTTTGTATCCTCCCCCATCACAATTGTTACCGTCTTATTAAAAAACTGTCTTGAAACTCAGCTGAGTTCTCAGAGAATAAGGCAAATAAGAAAAATGTGGACTTCAGTGATCACTCAGTACCCTAAAGCAATCACTCTATTTACTCATGGTTGGAAGAGAGAAAAGAGCCTTTTTGTAATCCTGGCCCTGTAACCATATATATCCTAAAGATTGTCTAGCTCCATGTTCAAAGTAGGGTTTTCTCTCCCAAGTATCCAAAGAGGGTCCTTTGGCTTTACTTTGGACTTAACACCTGTAGTCATGGGCAGCTTGGCACTTCAAAGGACAGCTGTTAATTCATTGGAATTGTAAGAACGTTCTTCCTGTAACAGCCATCCACTGGGCTGTCTCTGATAGCTAGAAGACCAATTCTTCATTTAATCCTTTAAATATTAGAAGATACTATCTCCTTTTTCAAGATGTGTCTCCTGAGAATCTTTTCACCCCAGGAGCCAAATATCCCTGCCTTTGTTGCATTTCTCTATAGATTACACTTTTAGACCTTTCAGAATATGTTGATGCTTCTCTTTGGAGGGCGGACTCCAAAATGTCGGTGTCCTTTTAGAAGTGAGATGTCCAAACTGAGCACCATACTACAGATGTGGACTCCAAATTCTGTGGAGTACGAAGTGATTTATTTCTCCTTTTACATTAAACTTCCCAAATTTTGTTAGTTTTCATAGAAACTACATCACACAGGGAACTCCTAGAGAAACAATCAGGGATTAGCATGGGACCCCCACTAGCGCTACGGTGCACTGTAGAATTGTTCAATGTAAAGTTGCCACAGGTCACAGGGCATCCATCCAGGAGGTAAAATGAAATGTCTCCAGGTCCTGGAACTGGGCAAGACCATATTGAGTTGGGGTGACTCAGTCCCTCACCCCCAAGGCCTCACATCTTTGCTTCTCTCTGCAGGTCTGCTCTGCTTTGCTTCATCTCTTGACAACAAAAGGCATTTCAAGCCTTTTATGTCCCTTTGTGACTTTGGCTTGCCTGTGTTCCAGTGTGCCATGAGCAATCTAGCCCAATTTCTAGCCCACCTTTCATTTCAAGTGCTCCCTGCCCAGCATCCAGCTCAGGGCCCATCAAAGTTGAATGTCCACAAAATCACACAGAGATCTTATCGAAAATGCAAATGATGGTTGAGTAGGTCTAGGGAAAGGAGTGTACCTTTCTAACAAGTTCCCAGCTGACATGGATGCTGCCGGCCCACAGATACCACTTTGAGTAGCAAACAAATCAAGATGCAACCGATCCAGTTTCCCATTTCCAAATTCCTGGAAGAAGGAATCTGATTATCTTGATCCAATTTTTGGCTTTGCTTACCCTGGATCACACTGCTCTCACTACTTATTTGCAGGAGAACAGATGGACATAAGACAGACATGCACTTTGGATTTTGGTCAGTCTTTACAGCAGGAGCCATGGGTAGACTGGCTAGCTCAAAATGTTAAAGATCATGTTTCTATCAATGGCTCCTTAAACCAAATTTTGCATAACTTGTACCTGTACACTTTTTTTTTTCTGATGGGAGAGACTGCCATTTTCCAACATCATTGGTACAGTTCAGATTTCCTTTAAACCCTGTTCATACAGTTAAGTTAAACTTGTTTCTGATGTCTGTCGAAGGATTATATCTGTCAAATTAAAATAGTCTAGAGAAGAAAAATGATGAATTATCCTCTTAGACTAGGTTTTCATATCTTAGATTTTATTCTTCAGTCATTTCAGTGAGATTTTGGAAGAAATTACTTGCTTGTTCAGTGAGCCATCCTAAAGCAGCCCCTTTATACTGTATTCTTTATCTTTGTGCCACCCCCGAACTCAGTGCAAATTCGCAGTTATAATGGTCAAATGTCCCTTTGCAATAGCTTCTCCAGGAAGGCCTGTATGGCCTTTCCAGGGTCTCCAAGAGTGATTTCTAAACTGCAAATGATGTCTAGAGGGAAACACTATAGTTCAGAACTAAAACTTACACCCTATACTCCCCCACCTACCCACTATGCAGGATGCTGCCTCTTCCTCTCTGTTAAGGACATTGGAAATGATGTCAGCAGTTTACTTTTACTCCCTAATCTAGATGCTTACTCCTTAGTAGAGATGCTACAGTGCTCTCCCATTCCAATCGGCTCCAATGTTTTTTGTTTTGGTTTGGTTTTGGTTTTGGTTTTGGTTTTTTTAGTTTCAAGTGAAAGGTAGTTCTAAATGATTGAAGTACTTGAAGGAGTGTGCAGTGGAGAAAGGATGATGGGGATGGATGAGACAGGATAATGAGAAGGTTTGCTGGCATGAGACTGGGGAGGGTAAATCATTCCAGCTTGGGGAGCTTCGAAAGAAATCCTGTAGCAATTCATTTCAGTCCTGGATTGTCAGAGTTGGTCTGATTGTTTATTCACCTTTTAAAAACTAGTCCTAGAAAAAAACCCCATATGATCCATTTGGGGTTTGCAAGAGGTCTTCCATAATTCAGAGAACTGGCACATTAATTTAATCAGAAACTTGGCTTCTTTTCCATCTTTTCATTTTGTCAATTAAGAGCCATAGTCACAATGGATAGATTTATTTGGGATGCAAAGAGAATCAAAGTACTCTCAGAGATTTGTTGAGCCAAGGAGACATTCACCTGGGACCACTTTAGAGATCAATTTTCAAGCCCATAAAAAATAAATGGAAGTGTCCTTGTGTGAGTCTGTTAGCATCTGTACCACTGCATTATGCATGATCCTGGCCATGTTCATGGTGTGTCTATTCATCACACTGTTTCAACAAAAGTTTTCCTTTTTTGCCAAATGGTAGATATCAAGACCAAATCCATACTTTCCTCTCTCTGCTTTCTTGGTAGGAGTCTCTTTTGTCCTTTCCAGCTATGTGTGAGTTCCCCTTGGTATATCCACAAAAGTTTGGCCTCTTCCCTTAGGGGGCAGTTTCAAAGGCTTATAGACATTTCCCTAATCTTAATATTTGCTCAATAATTTTTTTTTTGCATCCTGTCATTGCCTAAAAATTTCGGATAAACTCATCATCATTTGTCTAAAGTAGGATACATATCATTTTCACGTGAATGTTATAAAAGAAAACAACAGAGATCTGATTCCTACCCTCTGCTAGTTTACCCACATACTCATAGATACAAAGCAAACTGCATTGTGGGTTTTTAAATTTTTCACTAACAGCAAGTAATTGATTCATTTTAATGCTGGAGTATGTAAAATGGAAGTTTGCATTTGAATTACAGTTTCAATAAACAGCATCATTATAATTGCCTATTAGGATGATTTCTGTGTTTTATAGGCATTGAAGTTTTGGACACCACAGCAAGTAGAAAGCCCATGTGCCATTTTTCTTTTCTTCCACAGATTTAATCTATGCGAATAGCTATTCAAACTCTCCCCATTTCTAACTCTATTCAGACTGCTGAATATTTGTCTTTAGTGCTTTTTCTCCCTTGACCAAGATAGTAATTGGCTTTGTAAAAAAATAAAATCATTTTGTTTATTCTGCCTATACTCCAAATCCCCTGATGTAATTTGTTAGGCATAGCTTGCTCTGCTGTTCTAGCTTTCTCAATTTCTTCTGTTTAAGGCCTATTGTTTAAATCTTATGAATGATTGTCATTCGTTTGTCAGAAAAAATATTTTAGTCCAAATCATTATTGATGTGAGTTGTCATTAGATTTATATACTTGATGACTGCACACCACAATTGAGTTTTTCCTGCTAACCTTCAACAGCGTCTCAGACAATGGTTTTAAGTGGCGGCTCTTAAGAAACTTACCAGGTTCTATAATTGTCAACTTTGATTTTTTTGCCATCACGTCCTTAAATTAGAGACATATTTGTGCAGTGACCAAGACTTTCAGAAGCCAAATCCCTCTTTTTTCCTCAAGAATGACTTTCCTGAAGGAGAATAGAGCTCATTTACAAATTTTAGTCAGTTGTTCCTTTGTTTCAGAAAAGCTTGGAATTGAGACAAATTGGAGGAAATGTGCAATTTTTGACATGAAAAGCAGTGAGATGGATATGAATCTAAGCCATAAATTTTCCTCACTCAGCTGTACAGGCTTAAACGGAGCTGGAATAATGTTCTTTTGCAATTCTAGACATCAAGAAAAGGAAGTTTCTGCTACAGCCGCGTTTACAGGCTATGAACATGTACCACTGGAGGGAGGTGATGTGCTTTCAAGTGGTATCTATGTGATGGTTTATTACAGTGGTTAGGTGTTTACTTTTCATCCAACATTGTATCATGGAAAATTTCAAAATACAGCCAAGTGGAAAGAATTTTATGGTGAACACCCATAAACCTATCACCTTGATTCTGCAATTAACATTTTACTGTACTTGTTTTTCACATACATAACCTTCTAGCCATCCCTTGACCTAGTCATCAATTCCTCTTATTTTTCATGCATTTTACGCATCCTATTTCTAATGCATTGCAGACATCAGTAAGTTTCTTCTAAAACCCTTTAGCATGCAGATGGTTAATGAAAGTTCAGTATTTGTTTTTAGTTTGTTTTTCTGCGTGAGTAAAATTTACTGACTTTAACAAAATGAATACATACACCTGTGTAACCCAAACTCCTATAAAAATATAGAATATTACTATCATTCCAGAAGTCTCCCTGATGACTGTTATTCCTTAATCCCTGTCTCTACTTCTTATCCCTAGACAACCACTGTTTATATATATATATATATATAACCATAGGTACATGTACCTATTTTGGAACTTCAAATAAGTGGAACCAATGGTATGTATACTTTTGCTTAAGGCGTCTTTCACGCAGCCTAATTTTTTATTCATCCCTGTTGTTTTACATATCAGTAGTTCACTCTTTTGTATTACTGAATAACATTCTATTCTTTTTGTATAAAGACATTTTCACATTCCTTGTGTGGAATTGTAGTTGTCAAGTTATAGGATAGGGACATTTTTTTTTCTTTTATAGGAAATGTAGGGAATTTTCTATCTAAATGTTTGTGCCACTTTATCTAACCACCAGTGATGCATGAGTGGTTTGGATGTCTTATCATCAGTCTTTTTATTTTTTTAATTCTTAATTTTTTTAGTGTTTATTTTTGAGAGAGAGAGACAGACTGCGAGGGTGGGGGGAGGGGCAGAGAAAGAGGGAGACACAGAATTCAAAGCAGGCTCCAGGCTCTGAGCTGTCAGCACAGAGCCTGATTCTAGGCTTGAACTTGTGAACTGCGAGACCATGACCTGTGCTGAAGTCGGACACTCAACTGACTGAGCCACCCAGGTGCCTTATCATCAGTCTTTTTAATTTTACCCCTTCTGGTAATACGGGTGGTACTTGTTGTAATTGTAATTTGATATCCCAGGTGTTTATATTTAATATGTTTTAGGAAAAAGACAATTAGAAATGAAGTCTATGATTTCAAGGACATCAGGCTGGAGCCAGGGCCAAATAAAAGATGTGTCAATTTGGGATGAAGTTAAATTAAAATTCCAGGTGAATAATAGTTGAGGTGGCATATGGATATAGCAAAATTTATGAAGTGGTTTCTGAATAAAAGTTTGGAAAATGCCGTTATAGAAAAGGTTATTTTTCAGATTTCTTCTATGTCCATGGCTGTTTTGGATTGAGTCAAAATAGTAAATGTAAAAATCTTTAAATTTAAAAGTGTAAAAATTCAGACATCTTTTTCAAAGAAGATGTACAGACGGCCAACAAGTACACAAAAAGTTGTTCAGCCTCACTAACAATCAGGGAAATGAATATCAAAGCCACAGTGAGACATCACCTTACATCTTTTAGCATAGCTATTATCAAAAAGATAAGAAAAAAGAGAGGCAAACCAAAAAACAGACTCTTAAATACGGAGGGGAGGTTGCCAACCTGTGGTTGTTGGAGGGGAGGTGGATGGAGGGATGGGTGAAACAGACAAAGGAGATTAAAAGTGCACTTGGTAATGTATAGAATTGTTGAATCATTACATAGTACACCTGAAACTAATATAACAATGTGTTAATTACACTTGAATAAAAAATACAGGAAATAATGAGTATTGGTGAGGATACAGAAAAAAGAGAATTCTCAGGCACCATTGGTGAAAATGTAAGCTGGTGCAGCCACTAGGGCAGACAGTATAGAGGTTCCTCAAAAAATTAAAAAAAATAGGGGCGCCTGGGTGGCTTAGTCGGTTAAGCGTCCGACTTTCGCTTAGGTCATGATCTCGCGGTTCGTGGGTTCGAGCCCCGCGTCAGGCTCTGTGCTGACAGCCAGCTCAGAGCCTGGAGCCTGTTTCAGTCTGTGACTCCCTCTCTCTCTGACCCTCCCCTGCTCACGCTGTCTCTCTCTCTCTCCTAGAAATAAATAAAACCATTAAAAAAAATTTTTTTTTTAAAATAAAAAAAAATAGAAATACCTTATGATTCAGCATCTCTGCCTCTGGTATCTATCCAAAGAAAATGACAACACTAACTAAAAAAGATAGCTGCACCCCCAAGTTCACGGCGGCATTATTTACAATAGCCAAGCTGTGGAAACTACCTAAGTGCCCGTCAGCGGATGAACACATAAAGAAGACACGGTATACACAATGGAATATTATTCAGCCACACAAAGAAGGCAATCTAGCCATTTGTGACCACGTGAATGGACCCTGAGGGCATTGTGCTAAGTGAAGTAAGTCAGACAGAGAATGACAAATACTGCATAATTTCACATATATGTGGGATTTAAACAAACAAACAAAAAAACTCATGGATACAGAGAGTGGATGGATCATTGCCAGAGGTGGGGGCTGAGGAGTGGGCAAAATGCATGAAAGGTGTCAAAAGGTAGAAACTTCCAGTCACAGAATAAATAACTTATGGGATTGTAATGTACAACATGGTGACAGTATACATACAACATGATTCATAATCCCATGTTGCATATTTGAAAGTTGCTAAGACAGTAAATCTTAAAAGTTCTCATCACACACAAACACACACACACACACACACACGAGATTTGTAACTGTATGGTGACAGATGTTTACTAGACTTATTGTAGTGATCAGTTCACAATATATAAATACTGAATCATTATGTTGTACACCTGAAACTAATGTTCTATGTCAATAATATTTTAATTTAAAAAAATAGGAAATTCCAATTACCATTATCCACTATAGAGCTGTGGAGCTCTGAAATTAGAATTCTATGTAAGCCTAGGGGGGAAAAGATTTCAGGTGTCATCCCTGCTTTTGAGACCAGGCTTTGAACAAAGGAAAACTGTTACAAAGGCAAAACAGCAAGGTGGTATCAGGACCCATTGGAGTCATCAGGCTGGGTTTGCTTCTTGGTTCCACCACTTAGTTGCTGTGAGACCTTGGCAAATTATCTTCTCTGTGCTTCCGTTTCCTCATTTACAAATGTGGGGAATAATAGTAACAAATTCATATGGAGTTGTGAGGAATATATGAGGAAAAACATGTAAATAGCCCAAAGTAAGTACCATGTAAGGGATGAGCTACTATTACTCTTACAGTTGTAGGAGCATCGATCAGCCCCATGAGGGGAAAGATTCTGCAGGCCAACATCTCTAACTGAGGAACGAGGCAGAAAGTAAGTTCCTCTAGCAAGCAAGAAAGACATGTATCTCATTGTCAGCCTGGTGTTTGTCTTTCCTTCTTCTGGCACAGCAACTTGCTCTTCCTTTGGGCAAGAGCCTTCCCCAGTTCTCAGTGTAGGTGAGGCTGACCTTATTTCTCAACATTCTTATCTCTCAGTTTGCACAGATTGGTCAAGACATGGACACCTGATGTCAGTCAAGATATACTACTTGATTGTGGGGTTTCCACTGGTGCTACTGAGAAAGAGTAACTCCCTTTCTCTCCTGCTGAGCTGCTAAGCTGCTAAGACATAACGATGGTACTGTTGGCTGTCATTTTGCCACCGTCTGGGGAAAGCCTTCGAGAGACTGAGTCCCAAAGAGAGAAATGCAGAGCCGGAGAGTGAAAACGAGACAGACAGAAAGAGGTAGAGACTGAGAGAAAGAGACAGAGACAAAGTGAGAGAGAGTCAGAGACAGAGAAAAACAGAGATAGAGACAGAGAGGGACAGCATTAGAAAGACAGAGAGACAGAGACAGAATGAGTCACAGAGACAGAGAGACACAGAAGAAACAGAGCAACAGAGAGACCAAGAGAGACAGAAACAGAAAGGGACAAAGGGAGACAGGCTGGCAGAGTGACAGAGACACAAAGAGACTCACAGGGAGACACAGAATGAAAGAGAGAGAAAGACAGAAACAGATTGAGAGACAGAGACTCTGAATTGCTGACATCATTTGAACAACTGGCAGCAGCTGTACTGAAACTTCTGTGGGTGGTTTGCATAGATGATGTGGAGACACCGGCAGAGCCAGCTTTATGAAATTCCCCAACAGCCAAGAGACAGGTTTGGAGATAAGTGATGCCAATCAGTTTACTGTGTGGCTGCCATGGTAACAAGGGAGAGACTGGTTAGTTGGCCTGGCCATCTGGGTTCCAGGTGTGTGGGTGGTGGAGTGGAGAGGGCTGGGGGCCTGGGGCCAGGGAGGTGAGATTCTCGGGCAAATCTGTGCTCCCTACGTATCTCCCTAGCACTGCAAATGGAATGGGATATTCTGCTCTACTTCCCTTCTCCTTTCCAGTCTGCCTCTCTCAGTTGTCGCTGCTAAGACTACCAGAACTTCTGCCACCAGGTCTCAATGCTATTTGATAACATCTCTGATAGTAATCTTACCTTATATCTTCAGATGAAGACTCATGTAGTGTGATGTAATCACCCGATTTCAACTGGCTCAGCCATGTGGACAAGGTGACTTTCTATGATTTGGTGGCACTGGAAATAATCTTGAGATTGTATTTACATCTAGTGACTG